GGACCATCTCCATGTATTATTATAAGGTTCGCTGTACTGCTTTTGATAACAGATGCCCTTCGATCGATCTGTTACGCTTTACTTTCCCTTCTTTAATCTCTGCTCCTTCCATCTATCCCCTATCTCTAACCATCCCCTGTTCCCTTGCGGGATACGATGTTATCGTTGTACTGCGAATCCAATCTTTGGCTCCTCCTTTTGCCCCTCTTAGTTCTTACGTCAGCCTCGAACCACGTGGTACGTCTTTGAATTTTCTTACGGGGGTACCAACCACTTTAATTCTGACACACCCTGTATGTATGAGAATGTATTTTTTTCTTCAGTATTTTATTTTCGAAATTTTTTTTTTTAAGAATTTTAAAAAATTTCAACATGGTCCTCTACATTGTTGTGTATGTTTTTTAAGGGATGCTGGGGGTGGATTTTTTGTTTGGACCGAACTGCGCCGTCATTACATGCAACATGCCCTGGTCCTGTTTACGGGGATTCTTTAATAATCCACGTTGCGTAAAGGGTGAGGAGGGGGGAGGTGGGGGGGGTAGTGCGGCATTAGCGTCTTTTCACGTCGTACCGGGAATGATCAGGGTAAAAGGGAGTGTCACCTTTGTGCAGGACTTTCAATGGCGTCTAATAGGACCTGATTGGATTACCGGGTAAATTATTCTTTCGGGGGGATTTCGGAGGATTGCCGGGAAATCGATCCTTCACGTCTTTCGCTTGTCGCTTGCAAATTTTCGGGCTGCCTTGTACGCTTTCGCGAATTTACGATCTTTAACGTTTGAGTCTCGGGATTTGATTTTGCGAATTAATCATTATACGGACTGATTGTAATTTTATTACGTCACGCAGACAAGGGTTGATTATATTGACGTCGCGCGAGGTTGTTTAACAAGGTTGATATTTTTTTTTTTTTTTTTTAATAATAAAATTTCCAACACCATCGTTAAGCTTTTTGGTAACAAGATGCCCGTATCTTTTGGGTCGTATCACACGCGCTGTTTGACGTGTAACGATGTTCCGTAGCTCGAGGCTAAATTTAAGCGAGGCGGTTACTTTAAAACTCTTGTTTATATGCAGGCCGCGTTGTCGCAAGGTCTTTAGCGCGTGAGCATGGGCAAGTGCCCTGACAAAAAATGACCAATTAAAAGTTTCGCCGTCAGGTGGGCGACGGGGAGGTACGTGGAGGAAGACAGAGGGATGATGTACCCAGGAGATGTCATTAGAGAGAGAGAGAGAGAGAGAGAGAGAGAGAGAGAGAGAGAGAGAGAGAGAGTGAGTGGAAGTGGGAGGGAAATGTAGGGGGATGAAACTGTATCAAAATCGTATAAAGAAAGGATCTTGATATCTCACTATCCCCAATGTATATTTTTGCATTAACATAGTTGGGCAAAAGTTTGCCATATTTTTTTTCTCTCTTTTCGCAAAAGTCTTCGCATCCCATTTCGCCGCTCTGGACCAGTGCGAGCACAAGACGGGGAAGGGGGGGACAGTTAGGAAAATATTATTCCTTACCTCAGGGATAACCACTGTGACTTTTCTCGTAAGATTATATTTCCCGGAGTCTCTGCTGAGATAAAGAGCCAAGTGGTCCAGATGGGTGGGATGCTGCGGAAAGTTACTCGTGGAATCCGAAGTGCGAAAATGCTTTCTATATCTGTGCCGAGACTGCTTCTAACTACCCCTCGACTGGCAACTCAAACCCCAGACACCCCCC